TGATGCCCTTTTCCCCTCGGAACCCAAAACAACCGTTTCTTTTCACATCATTGGTGATTGCTAGCTGATGGAGAGTCCTAAGCTCAGAAGAAACATCTGTCCAGTAATTCGTGGTTTTCAGTAATTCTCTAACTTTGACGTCAGTTCATGATCTAACTTGAAAACCAGTCAATCAAATCAATACAAAACAACAATCTAAAACTGATTTTTATTCTCATGTTATTTTCTTGATAATGAGTACTAGTAGAATGCATATTGCACATTTCATCTTACCAAGATCTTATCAGCCGGGAATATTCTTACATTTCAAATAGATGGTGTTTCCACTCAGACTAAAAACTTAGCATTTCTTGATTTAAACTTCGAAACACAATTTCCGAGTCTATGCTGTATTATCTGGAGTGGGTATAAGTGTCATTAGGGCTACAGTCGTTCGCCTGCATTCAACTGACTAGTTCCCAATAAGGGGAATTATGAGTAGCTGCTTCCATTGTCAAGCAAAATCAACTAATCAGCATTTCCATGAAGTTAATTTGGTCATTAAGGTGTTTAACAAAATAGATATTAAGGAAATGAAGGCATAAATAAATGCACGGTACTATTTACTACTGATTGACTGACTGACATAAGTAGTTGGTCGCCATTCATATCAACCAGCCAAATCGAAGTTAGCCTCTTTGCCAAATTAGTAATAAATTGCGAATTTGTTTGTTAAACAAAAGGTTAATAAACGCTGATATAATTATGAGCAGCCGTAAATTGTGCTTGAAAAGCCATCCAGTTATCCATACTACATCATTATGTGTTGCATAAGTAAACTTATCTAATATAGAATCATTTTGTCAGCTTCTGAAAGTTGATAAATTAAAGTGACCGCTATTCATTATCTTTTATTATACTGTTTTGTTAAAGTTTGCACTTTTCTAGGAGTCCAATCATTGTAGATATCAAAAATTTGATTAAATTGTTAGGAGAACAGAACAGATTGAACTTTGGTTCATGCGGGATTTCATCTGACTATTAGAAAAAACAGCACAGCTTAGATATTAATGGAGATTTGTTGCTCAGGTGGCTAATTTAGATGCAGTTGTGTTCTTTGAGATGGATGGCTTATTTGCGAAACTTTCATTGACCTACTAGGCAACATCTTCAGCGAATACACTGCAATTTGAAATGGACTTTTAGATTTATCCATGTGTTTATAAGTCATCTCTCTCTTGGCCTCTTCAAACTTTTAGGAATTTATGTCGCAAATAAACCAACAAAATCACTTCACTCAGCTGGCTCTGCGTCAGTCAAAACACTCAACAGCGAAAGAAGATAAAACCAACATCATCTACAAAATAAGTTACAACGACTGCGAAAACACTGTATTTGCAAAAGTGGACGTCCCACTTTTCGTCTTCGTATCCATGAACATAAACTAGCCGTCAAAAGATTTGACATTCACCCCCTCACTCATATGGCCTCACTGCATAGCGATAACCACGGACATCAATTCGACTGAGACAACCAGCATTCAAATATTGAACGGAGGAAACACCAGCAACGCTAGAAGGATTTTTAGAAGCCGCTTGATGTTCCACTGAATCGTCAATCAAAAGGCACATTGACACAGACAAAATTTACCAATCGATAAGAGGGAAATCTCACACACAAAAGGTGAAACTTCAGGTCAAGGAAACAATCAGTTCCAATGCAAGTAGCCCAGAGGTTGTGAAAACACACAAAAGTAACCAATCACGACTTTGTTCAAGGTCTCCCACGAGGAGAGACCACTAATAAACTGGTGGAGAAATGTAAATGCTCACTTCAAATTGAAGTGTATGCCCTGAAGATGTAGGGCAATGAAAGCTTCGCAAACAAATAAACCATCTAGCTAAAAGAACACAACTACATCAAAACCACACAACTTCCATAGCAAGTAAAAGTTGAGTAGTTCAGTCTGAACGCAGAAACCATTCAATGCATCCTCCTTCCTGTATAGTATGTGTAGATTCCAGTAAACATACATATTCCAAAATTATTGTAATCATATCAAAAAGACAATTTGTTGAATAACACTAATAATTCGTATCATAAATACAAGACTACCTCAACAATGCCCTCTGGAGGCTACACAGTCACAAAGTTTCTAGAGTACAAAATACCTACTGTACAAAAAATTTATTTAACAGCCAAACACAAACATGCATATTACCTGACAGTCAATAAGAATATTTCGAACAAGGTGGGATCAAATCTCTGTTCACAAGCATCAAACAGAAAAACACGCGCATTTCCTATTGACAGTCTAAAGGCCAAGTGGTCGCCCCATGGTGTAACCTTGTTTTCAATTAAACAAAAACGCAGCTGTAAAACAACCCTCTGTTATCGACATCAACACATCAACTAATAGAAGCATGAAAATTAGAGATTGAACAAAAATGAAGGACAAATAACAAGGTTTAGCCCAAACGAAGATATGAAAAATATTAGAACATTGACATACAAGTCCGGAGGGAAGTGTATCAACCGTTAGAGACTGGTTCTACACAGAAAGTTACTTGGAATTCCAGTGAGAAGTCGTAACTAGTAGGGTCCACCAGTTCAGTTACTTTCCTATGATACTGACTGGCGGTTGCGCTGTATATATATAGCTAAATGACAGAAGTTGGGATTCATCGGCTGGCCACCGGATAGGGTCCCACTGGCTTGATGGTCTACGAGTTTGCCTTGTAACCGGGAGATCCTGGTTTCGAACCTTAGTGACTACGTGTTGCTGAAGAGTCTCAAACCTGAATGAAACAGCTGTCCGGTACTCTCTTGATCGATTATTTTGCTACACTGTCGTCTAATTGTGAATATAACGGATAAGAGTGTGCATTCTTTGCATTCATATGGTTTTTCCGGGTGGAAATACATCTTTCCAATCGATACTACCTACATTTTGTTCCTCTTCAATCGTCTTTATTGTACTTAATTCATTTTGTTACATTGTTTCCTAATTAGCTTCTACTAAGCATATCCTTTCAAATTGTAACGATACATATCTTAGACAATTTGTACATTAAGTAGCCAAATCATTCTGTCTGATAACTTAAAATGGTTACATTTTAATTTCAAGACTACTACCATTACTACTACACGCTAAGAGTACCTCCCGGTATCTGGAACAATGTTTAGACACAATGAAAAGCTTTTGCTGTTTTGGTAATATTTCGAGCAAAATTACTGCCCCCATGATCACACCAATTGGTGGAACTGTTTTGTTTTTAATTCACACTTTTATGATTTGTACTCATATATATACATACTTCATTTTTTGCCCATTGATTTTTGTGTATTCAGAATTATATTCCAGGTTGTTTGTAGTTGTACTACGAGTCACCCTTGTTACATATATCCGACTTGACCTTAATGAATATGCATTCTTTTAATTCAATTTTAGAATTTCCCGTCGATTGATTGAACTGAATTGCTCGGTCTCAGGTTGACATGTCGGCTTCTTGTGCAGATGCCTCGACGATGTCTGGCCGTGTAAAGAAAAGTTAATTGGTGGTTGGTGACTAACGGTGGAATCCAGGATGCGCATTTCGTCCCATTTGGTACATCCAGATGACGAGTCCCAAATAAGACGAAGTGCGCATCCTGGATTTCACTGCTGGTCACCATCCACCAGTTAACTTCGAATATGCATTCTGTTATTAGTCTGTCTTTCCATTTGTTCATATTAGATTTCAGATTAAAAACCTTGTCCCACTCAATGTTGTGGTTTTTGTCCTATGCATGTGCAGCTACAGATGAATGTTTTTCTAAATTGTTGTAAGGTTGTGTTCCTGTGGGCTTATGACCTTTAGTCGGCTAGGCGTTTATGTTCATGCACTGTTGTTTTGAGTGACCTGGACGTTGGATCCACATATTTAATCGGACACTCGGCACAAGATTTCTGTTTGTAAATTACATTATTTTTATTGGATCTTTGAGTTGATTTATCCTATTTTTAATTAGATTCGTTGGTTTAAACGTCGTACGAATCCCAATATTTTTGAGGTTTCTTCGAATTGCCTTTGATGTACCATTTTATATGGTATTGTGATTGTTATTTTGCCTTCCTCCTTTTTGTCATTCTCTGGTTTTACCCTCTTTTTTCTTTTCTTTATATAACCTCTGATAAATTCTTTCGGGTAGTTGTTGTCGAGTAACATTTTGAATAGGACGTTTGTTTCTGTTCGCTGGTCATCTGGTGTTGTTGTAAGTCTACGTATTCTATCTGCAAGACCTTGTATTAAGCCCCCTTTTATCGTGAGTGGATGAGGTGAGTGATAATCAAGAAGTCATTAATGAAAACAAAACACGTAGATCAGCGAAGAGTCTCTTTTCGGCGAATTCATCTTCTTAGCTGTACAATCGCAAATATATATGCATTGTTTTGTATGTATGTGTACATTAAGTTTGTCAAACAAAGTTACAATCGGTTAAGGTTAATTTTAACTAAACAAGTGAAGGTTGGTAATACAGGTCAAGAAAATTAAGTGTTAGTGAAACTAGGGTAGTAACAAAGGTGATGAGTTGTCAGAAACAGTTGTAATAATAATCGTGAGTTTTACTCAGGATGCACATAGAAACAAGGTAGAAATTATGTAAGAGATCTAAGTGGATACAAGAATTACAATTGCTTAAAGTTATTTTAACTAAACAGGTAAAGGTTGGTAATATAAGTCAAGACAATTAAGTGCTAGGATAGTAACAAAGGTGATGAGTTGTCACAAACAGTTGTTAAAAGAAGTTATGCAATAATGATATGAATATTTTGATGAGTGAGTTTTACTCAGGATGCACATAGAAACAAAGTAGATAATACGAAACTATGTAAGAGATCTAAGTGAATACAAGAATTATAAGCAACTAAGGAACAGGCAAAGAAACAAAATTAATTTATCAAAATAAAATAAAATGAAAACTCAAAAGTAACTTTGAAGTAACACTACTACTTTATCTTTTGCCTTCTTTTTTTCCAGTCGTCCAAGTGTGGCGCTTGCAGACTATGACATCTCGGATAGAAGGTGAGCTATTTTCGCTTCTGAATCTTCATTTCTGTACACTGGTTAAACAAAACATTCTGTTACGCCGAACTAAAGATAATGAATAATAATTCCTTTTGTACTGACTTTTCTCATGCTTGGATGAGTACTACACTGTCAAAAGAGTGACGCTCGAATAGTATCGAACTGCCATTGGAAAATGTATCTGTTTGTGTCAGAGGAAGGAATGTTTGGGTAAAATCACACGTCAGGCAGGCCCTCTAGTGAAACCCCATTGGAAAGCAATCAATGCGTATAGTGTGGTCCCAAAGGTGAAACAGATGAGAACGTGTAAGAAGGAAGTGAATACCTATGAGTATTCTTGCAGCCAGCTAGGCAAGACTGCAGAGAACAGGATGGAATAGAGCACAGCTTCTGAAGCTGTAATATATAATAAATTCCTGTATTCTCGATGTTCATCAATAACTTCAGAGGTAAAAAAGCAAAGTAGAAAGCTTATGACTACACTAGTCGTTCATTTCAGAATAACCTACAAATTCACGGTTCTAACTCTCAAGTGCTGAATGATCTCGAAATTGAAGGGTTATACCAGTCATATCAATCAGTATACATCGTGGTCTATTGTAGTTGACAAAATGTATTCAGCCATTATTATCAGGTCAAAGTTACACCCTCATATTCAAAGAGTCAAGGAGACATCTCGAATTGTCGTAAATGAACTAAGTTAGGCCGCGTTAAACGCCAAATTACACTGGGATTTCACAAAAATATCTCAGTCAGACGTTCCACAATTTATTATCTTCAAATGTCTACAGAAAATGTTGCGTTTTGCACGGAAAATGATTGTAACTTTGATGAAATCGCCTTATATATATATATATATGTATATTAAGACTGAAATTCATCTGGGAGGGACTGCAGACTTCCCATCAAGCCATTTTATGTCCATCTAAATAGGTTAAAATGTCAAGCTGTATCGAATATTGTTCATGACTGAAACCACAAAGGTATAGTCGTGGTAATCACTACACCTTCAAGTTAGATGACGAAATGACATCCGTTAGAGAACCCTTAAAAGCTGGATAGTACTGGATGGGGTTATCAGGAGTTCTAGTGAGAAATCGTTAAAACAATAGGTTTCATCAGATCGGGGGTGTGAATAAATATCCACCAGTCACACTGGCTAGTGGTAGCGCTATACAATCATAACTGAGAAGAGTAAGAATTTCACAGGTCGAGCACTGGATTCAGGGAAATTGTCTGATAACCTGTAAACTCTGGTTTCGATCCCTAGTGTGTTGGGTCATGGGTGCATGCTATTGTAGAGCCCAAGACTAGGATAAAGCAATAGGCCAGCACCCTATGGTATATAATGATACTCTAAGTGATGTCAACTTCTGATTAGACCTGAAATCAACCCAATTTCTAAGACCAATTCATGAAATCAATAAGTGTTTCTCTGTTGAATATTCTTTATTTTATGATTTTTCAAAAATTCATAAAAGGTTGATTGTTTGAGCGAACAACAGTAGTTTTACTAACTCTATCTTCAGTATCTACAATTATGAATCCATGAAATATAGAATACAGTGGCCTTGTAAATGCGAATAAAAGTTATATCAGAAACTGTATCGGCGGGGCGTACAAGTATGAGGTTAAAATGATGATCCGTTGGTTAACATTGTCTTTTGAATGCGTGTAATATGTACAGTCATTCTGAACATAAGATAAAATGTGAGTGATTTGTTCGCGGACTGATATTTGATAGAGAGACATTGATAACCAGGGGGTGACGGGCTGCAGGATAAAGTTAACTAGAGTTCTAGTGAGATGTTGAGACCACTGGGCTCCACTAAGTCGGGAGTAAGTAAGATTGGGTCTCAGTGCCCGAATGGTCTACGATGTTAACTTTACCCAGAAGGTCCTGAGTAAATATGTACTGCCGATGAGTGCCAAACTAGGATGAAACAGCTGTCCAGCCCTCCCCGATGGTTTTTACTCCTTCCCCATCTGACATCAATCCGTGATCAAAGTCGAAAATATGGATAGACAGTTTAGCGACATACCAATATATTTGTAATCAATGAAATGTAAGTTTCATTGGGGGTGGGTTGGTGAGTTATATTCAGTAGGGTGAGATAAATAGCAATACAGAACACAAATAGTCAGAGAGAACAATTCTGGTTTCAATGAATTCTTCTTCAAGCTCTACAATTATGAAGCCCTTAATTTAAACATACAACAGCCAGCCAGTAAAGGCAAATTAGAAGTGCGTCAGAAAGCGTATTGTTGAACAAGTATAAGATAGGAGGGAACAATAGTCAGTTAGTTTTGAATATACATGGTCAATGTGAACATGAGATAAAATCGGGTGAAATAATTCATTGATGTGGGTGTATATGCAAAGTCAACAAAGGTACAGGTTTTGAGGGTGAGTGTAATAAGTAATCAGTGTAAACAGTGGTGTGTGAGAGACAGTGTGAATACCACAGAAAAATAAACCAACAAATGGGATAGACTAGACTTAAGTTCAAGGGTGAAAATAACGAAAATAATAATGATGGTGAATTAATAACGTTGATGTGGTGTAAACTTAAAAGTACTATTGGTGAATGATTGTCAAGTAACAGTCATAATAATAATAATGAATTCAGTGAAGTGAAATAAACAGGATTTTGTGAATACGATAACAATTCATAATAATAAAGGTTTTTGTATTTTCAAGTATTGGTTTGGTAGGGATTTTGTTTAATTGTATGGAGGATTTCATCATGAGCTGACATCAGTGAGAGAACCACTGGAAAACCTGGGAGTATTGGACAGCTTTTCGTCCTAGTTTGGGACTCTTCATCAGTATGCGCCCACCGAGATTCGAACACAGGACCTTTTCGTTACAAGGTGAGCTCGTAGACCATTGAGCCACTGGGAACCCATCCACTGGTCCTTGAATTCTAGCTTCTGCCAATTCACGACACAGCGCGACATAGCGCCTTGTAACCAGAAGGTCCTGGGTTCGAATCCCGATGGGCGCGTGCTGATGAGGAGTCCCAAACTAGGACGAAACAGCTGTCCAGTACTCCCAGGTTTTTGTATTTCCCAATGAATGAAAAACAAAACGATATTGTTTTTACTGACATTTCGCTATTTAATGCTAATAGCTTTATCAAAGCAGTATTATTAAACCAGAATTTACAAAATCTCAGCATATATATAACAGAGAGTTAAGGCGTGAGAAAATAGACTTAAGTCAAGTTAAAAGGACATATTGAAAGTTAAAATAACAATGAAGATCACAAAACCAAATAACCAAGGTAATAGTACATCTGTTATTATATCAAAACAAAGTTTACTAACTTGACCATCGTTCGTTAGTCTGGGGTCATTTTTCGTTGTCAAGTTGGTCAATTGGTAAAGATAAAATCAAAATCAAGTGTAGATTGTTGGATTTGATCAGTGTGTAAAATTATAAAGGCAGTGTGTGTTAACATAGTGAACTTGCATATCACATTCGTGTTGATTTTGTCACTTCATGGGGGAGGGAGGTGTTGTAACCAGGTAAGATTCTGTTTTAGTCCATCATTCCTATTCAGGCAATTTGGATTCCACTTGATATGAAGTGCTTCTGATATTAGACGTTCTTTGTGATTCCTGAAGTTTTTCTGGATTATTTCAATATTGTCAAAATCAATTTTGTGACCTGATTCTATAGCATGATGATTTTTCAAGCTTTCCTAGTCCAGTTGGATTTCTCGGTTGTCGAACAGATGCTTTACGGTGTTCATTTCTTCTGATTTTGATTTCTCTCTGACAGTGTTTGTCCGATGTATATCGCATCACATTCCAAGCAAGTATTTTACTTTATAGACACAATTAGATAGAGAATCTTTCGGGATTTGGTCTTTTATATGGACAAGGTTGTTTCGTAGCGAAACGTCAGTAAAAACAATATCGTTTTGTTTTTCATTCATTGGGAAATACAAAAAACCTTTATTATAATGAATACCATATACCCAATGCCCACATTTTTTCAAACTGTTAAAAGCGAACTTGGTTTGGATATATATAAATAAGATAACAAGTTAGAAAAGAACTACTTAAACCTAAAGTAATAGAAATCATAAGGAAGGTCATGAAGTCGTAAAAGGTCAGAAATGAACGTTTTTCAATGAAACAAAGGAAAAGAAGAAGATGAAGAAAAGAAAAAAATTTGCGATAGGAATTTAAAGTGTTAATGTTTATGGAGGAATTTTGGACCTTTTTGTAGTCCAAGGCAAACATAACGGTTGAACATACTTTTTCTGTACGAAAACAGCCGGTCTTCTGATATTGATTGTTACCGTTTCAGCTGCTGACAGAAGACGTAGTCAAGTTCCTCTAGACAGATTACCTGGAGAACGCCTGCCCAGATTTTATCGGGTGTCCAGTATCTACCAAGTGGGCTAAGCCTGCACTACTTGCGCATTTTGTCATCCCTTTACTCAACCATACAGTTACATGTTCACATGCGTGCATGGATAAAGCCTTCTGAGTACGGCCTATGTAATTCGCTCCACATGAGCAGTTGTAGTCATAGGCACACACTGATAAGTGTGAATACCACAAAAATACCAAAAAAAACAAGTGGAGTACACTGAATGTAAGTTACGGAGATAACAAATAACAAATATAATGATAAACTAAAGAGGTCAAATAGTGAGCCGTAATCAAATAATAGCGATAAGATAAGCTCAGTGTAAACCACAAGGGTTGACAAATAATCATAGTACTGTGGAGTAAACTGGGTCAAAAGGTGTAGGAAGAACATAGTAAGACTGTATATTTTATATGCACTGAATTGACAATGGTAACTAGTGGACCATTATCCGATCTTATACTTGTACACCACAGTACGGTTTCTGATATAATATGAATTTACCTTTATTGATTGGCTATTTGTATTCTAACCTTCGTGAATTTATAACTGTAGCGTCTGACGAAGGAAGAAGTTATTGAAAGTGTAGTTGTTTTGCTCCACAATCACTTTTTTCTTTAAAATGTATAAACATCCAAAGAACGATGCTTACATCAGGTGTATGTGTTGCTTAAATTTGCATTTTATCCTTCAGATCGTCTGCAATGTCATCGCTGCTGCTGTTGTTCGCTTTGTTCGAAGGGATGTGTGGCTTTGTTTTGCCAATATGCTCAGCTTTCCGAGTGTCGAATGGATCACCGAAGCGTCACTATTATGAAGTAAGATTTATTATTGTAAAATTGAGAAAATAATTTAACACCTAAAGAGCCTTTTTGGTAATAATTTATGCATTTCATAGAGTTTGAATGAGCAAGCGTGATCAATACAATTTACTAGATCAGTTGTGAAGAGAGTTACTCAGCAATGATATTAGATACTGGCTGAATTGTGTAACGATTTGGCACAGATGGGAAATCATGTGCCATTGGATTAAGGACTATTCGACGTCAGAATCAAAATTTACTGGTGATCGGGACTGATCATTTTGAGTTCCAGGGTAATATAGAATCATATGTTAACTACACTAGGTAGTCAGGGACATGGTCAAAATATCTGTCCGGAATTCTATTGACTTTTCCATTTATTTCGACAAGCCAATTGAAAGACGTGATCACAGGATTTTATTATGAGCTGACGTGTGTTAGAGAACCATTGGAAAGCCATCCACGGAGTACTGGACAGCTGTCTCATCCTATTTTGGGACCCTTCAACAACATGTACCCACTGCAGTTCGAACCCGGGACCTTCTGGTTACAAGGCCAGCAAGCTCGTAGACTATTCAGCCAGTGGGACCCTATCCAATGGCCGGACCATGAATTCCAACTTCTTCCATTTCAGTGATGAAGAGTCCCAAACTAGGATGGAACGACTGTCAAGTACTCCCTGCAGGTTTTCTAATGGTCCCCTAACCGATGTCACCTCATGATGAAGTCTTTTAACCAATCAATCAAATCCTTACAAAACTAATACTGCAATACTTGATTTATGTGGATTGTGTAATATATTTGCACAAAACATTTCATACAAGATCAAACCGAAATATGATCTTAAGGAGTGACAGAATAGAAATAGGTGAAGTTAAAAGACTACATATTGAAAGTCAAAATAACAATAAAGATCAATAAGCCAAAGAAGGGAGATAACATTGTCAAAATAAAATTTACGAAGGAAGGTGTAATCTGATGGTGATTTGGTTTTGAACAAATGAAAGGTGGTTTAAACCTCCTATTCGCTAATGCTTCCACGAACTTTAGGATACGCCCCAAACACGTTTTATAGACAGTCATTAATTTTATGTCCTGTCTCTGTAATATACTTTAGAATGGAAGAGCTAGGTTGCCTGTTTACACCACTAATGAGTTCGGAGTATTCAGTTTGCTTCTATAGCCCTTACTTGCAGAGATTGATGAGTCCTCCCCATATATGTGTGACCACATGTACATTTAAAATGGCGGATAAAGTGGTATGTGACATCACTCTTCGTGTACTTCGAGGGTTCAGATGGGTATATAAGCTTCAAATTTTCAATGATCCACATCTCAGCTGCATAAAATATCATTTTAAGCGAAGCATTCAATCTATGTCTAGTTAATAAGTGGGTATGGTAGCTTGATATATTCATCCTTCTTAGCGGCGGTTTGGAGAATGGGTCTTCGTGTTCCGACCAATTTATATCTCCTTATGAACTTCTCTAGACGGCTATTATCAACTACAGTTTCGAACAGCCTTCTTTTCTTCATCTTCAAGTATATATCCTGTGTGCACATTCTTTGGATCCTACTAAAGAAGCATCTCACTGAGGATATTTCGTACTTTTATATTCCATTAATGCTTATTCGTGGTGAAAAGTACTTTGAAACTAATTCATTCCCAACGAGTCCATAGAAGTCAAAGCTGATAACTTTAGGTCATGCAAATAAATTAAAGTGAGGCCATTGTAATTTCACCCTATGCCAAATCCTCATGTGATCCACTAATTCTGCTAGTATTTGTGGCGTAATTTATTCTATGTACAGCTTAGACATTTAAGGATATAACAGCAATTGAGTGTGTTGTAGATAGTCGTCAACAGTATCAAAACAGATATTGGACATACTGGTAGAACATCTGATCCAATGGGATAGATTATATTTACGTATGACACAACATTGTGGCACTAGACTTTGACTGGTTACTAGGTAGCGACCAATTCCATGAGTCTGGTCATTGGTCTGGTGAATTCTATCAGTCAGATGCACATTGCGGTCACCATGCTAGGCGGCTTGACATCGGGATGCAATCCAAAGTGATGTTAGATGGCTGGAAGCAATCGACAGGCAACCTTACACCTAAGTTTCGTGTTTTTAAGGCTCGATAAAAAAATATCTACAATATTGAGCGAACTCATGTCACCTCTGAGATTCGAATCCGCATCATCCAATATTGTGGTGAGAGACATTACCATTGAGCTATTCGTGCACAGGGCTGACTTTCAGTAGGACTAGGCAGTAACCAGTGCCATGCACCTGGTTCTTGGTTTGCTGTAGACAGAACTCTGTCAGTTTATTTACTGAAGACTTTTCAGATTCAACCTGTTTTTAGCCTTGACGTGATTATGAGAACAAATGATCGCCCAAAATGTCATGACGGTCCATCATCACTGTTAAATAAGTTGGCCTATTTTGCGAAATTCGACTTCCTCTTAATTCCGTGCGTTGTGAGTAGAACATAGGGGTTCGGGTTTTGAAGTTCAGTGGCGCTGGTGTCTTCTTTGTTCGGGGAAGGGTTGCTGACCTCACAGTCAACCTTTCTTCTTTTATAGAAGGCTTACTATAGAGTATTGAACTCGGCCAGGTTGAAGGATGCATCCGTTGAGAACCAAACTTGGACTACGCGCATTCTATCTATGAACCACTGATACTGTAAAGAAGTTCTAATATACTTTTCTATTGCCTCCATTTTGGGCTTCATGTTTACTAATCTGTCCACTCAGGGGACGATAATGATGGTCATTTGTCATTTTCATTTGGTTCTTTAGAATTTTTTCATGTCTACACTGTTTACAGCTCATTTAATACTCTTGATTTACAACTATGCAGGTGACAGTTATTGTGAAAAGTGGTCTTAGCACGTCTTTCCATATATTAGAAAGGTAAAGAAGTCAAGAAAACTATCCTAACACCTGTAAACATTTTCTGCACACCCTAGTCCGTAATTTAAAGAGTTCGACTTGTAGGAAACTGTGTAACAAAGGCTTGATAAAGCTAGACAGCGAACACAATAAACTGCTAGATTTATGTTCCACAGTACCGATAACCAGCTACTGCAACAGCCCGGGAACGAGTAGTGCCTTCCCCTTCATCCGTAACACTTCTGACAGTATTTGTCAATGTGAGGGTAACTGTAGAAGCAAGTACATAAGTTGTGTGGAAAAGTGACTTTGCCACGCACCTAACTAAATGTTTGAGACACACACAAGCAAAAATGATCTAGGGGTTCAACAATGAAACAGTATAATTGGATGGAGGATTTCATCATGAGCTGACATTGGTTAGAGAACCACTGGAAAACCTGCAGGGAGTACTGGACAGCTGTTTCGTCCAGTGGTTCTCTAAATGATGTCAGCTCATGATGAAATCCTCCAACAAATCAAACAAAATCCCTACAAAACCAATACTTGAAAAACAGTATAATATTGACACTATCAAGTCGTTCATCGTCGTCTGTAGACAAACAATTAAAAAAGATGCCGGAAGGTGCAAAGGCATGCATAACTAGTGCCTATAAACCTGGTATCTGCGTACAAAATGAAATGGATGTTGTCTTTTTTAATCTGTCATGGTAGTATCTCCCGACCTGCAAATTAATGCTATTATCTTGCTCTGAAAAACGTTTTATCACATAACCACACCGTACCTTCGTGGTTCAGTGGCTGAATACTGAATAGCCAGCCAAGCAACTGGTTCAGGGTTGGATTCCCAACAGACACACTCCTAAACCTCGATTTTGTAAAATTCATTTCTGTTCCCAGTGGAACATATGGCTTTAGGCTAGTGCTCCGAAGTTTCAGTAGAAGTGGTATTTTTTACGTGATGGAGTTGCTGGCTTCACAGTCAACCTTCCATATTTACTGCGTTTGCTACCAAGCAAGCAATGTTTAGGGGGTCGTCGGCCAAGGTTCGAACCCAGGACCACTTGCGTGGTTGGCCAGTGTTCTACTACTAAGCCATCGACTCACCAAAGCACTTGCGACCACCGGGAGACGAACCCGGATCAACTGCTTGGAAGGCAGCCATGGTAGCTGCTACATGATAACCTCGCCTAGTCAGTAGTGAATTCTGTAAAGATGTAGACTTGTGCTTGAGGCTAGCAATCCTCCGTTCCGTAAATAAAAACACCGCCGCTACTGAAAATTCAGAACTCTAGCTTGAAATCTCCTGTTCAACTTGAAAAGCAAAGCAGTGAAAAAGTACAGCCACACTATTATCATCCATTTGAGCTACAAATCTTTTCGATAGTTTGAAATAGTTTGTTTCTGTCGTATTTTTATATCCACTCCTGACTGTTTCACCATGAATTATATTATCTTCGAGTGTTGATTCACAGGAATTTGAGTGATTTGGATTCTGATAATAAAATGACTTCATTTAGAGAACAGTCGGGAAATCAGGTAGTATTGGACAGCTATTTCGCTTTAATTTGTAGCCCTCCGGCTGTACAAACCTACCGGATTTTGAATCCAGGACCTTCCGGGTACAAGGCAAGCCTGCAGACCATTTAACTATTAAGACCTCATTTAAAAGTGCGTGAATTCCAACCTCCATCAATTCGTGATATATATGTGACGTAATCGCCAGTCGATGTTATCATCTGTAACCTGACTTGGTGGTCCCCACTGGTTGTGACTTCTCACCTGAACTCCAGGTAACTGTCTTTAGCCAGTAGCCAGTGAACATCGGAATAAGAATCAAGTCATGGAAAATTCCCATTGTAACATATAGAAAATCAAAACAAATGATTCAGCGAAGAGACTCTTTTCAACGAATTTATCATCAAGCTGTACAATCGTATATATATGGCTTTTAAGAAGTTATATCCGGTGAGGGAATTGAATCATAGGTGTGAATGCATAAAATAATAATAGTACTACTATGAAATGCAATTAAAACTAAAATGTTTGTGATTATAATCGTAGTCAAATGTCAAGTGGCAAATCAAATTAATGTCATTTATAGAATAA